TATATTAGAAGCCTTATAGAAGCCCTATATACCCTAAACTCCCCACCTGTAGTTTCCTTTAATATTCACTTGTGACAGCACGCCGGACAGGAGCTCGCAACCTGAAGATGATTTCTCTCCTGCTGGTCGTCCTGACATCGAGCGTGCAGGTACGGCTTCTTAAAGAGCTGCAGAGGTGGATGGTGTTGATCTGCTACTGCCCGGGCCATGCCGCTCACGAGGGTAAACTAGAGCAATTTGCTTATTGTGTTAGCCCAGCTACAGGCGGAATATGACGTCTTCACGGCTTTGCAGATGACGCAGTCGGCGTTGGATGAGCAGATGGTGGTGTCCGTGGCATTGGCCAATTCCGGAAGAGCCAATGCCTCCAGACATGACGACGATAAAGACATCTCCGAAGATGAAGAGGCAGAGGACGCACACCCGCTGGAAGATGAGGAACCGGAAGAAAGCACAGATCCCACCAAGGTTGCTGTTGCAGAGGACGATTTTGGGGACGCGGAGGATGAAGATGACCTTCACCTCGAAGTACCCCCTCCGGACGGCCATGAAGAGCTTCAGATAGAGGAGAATTCTAGTCTTGCCAAAAACGGACGCTACAGGCCTTCTGACTGCAGAACATGGATGATGTGGAACTGGAACTGCAGTGCTGCCCTGTCTAGACATGAAGTAATGACACCTGCAATGATGTGTTCGAAAGGTATAAGCCCAACGTTTTGCTCGAACGAGGTCAGTCAAGGTCAGTCAAGGGTTGGATCAGCCATCGTCGCTCGGCTGAGGTCTCCTGCGGAGCGCATTCACAGCTTGATCGCTAAGTTCGTCTATGCCCGACCCCCGGCACGTAACGACAAAATCTCGAAGAAGAAGCCGCTTCTCTTCATGCACCAGGCAAAGTCTGGTGGGACGTCGCTCCGTGAGGTTCTCTACCAAACTAGCAGGCATCATGGACTCTCCGCTTTCATCCCCTGCAACGGCGGAGTCCACTGCCAGAAGTTTGATATTAACGGTGAGACAGCTGCGGTCTACGGAGGCCACTTTTGCTGGAAGGCGACCACCAACAACCTTTACAGGCATGGGGTCCGCCAGTTCTCATGTGTCACCATCTTCCGTGAGCCCGTGGCACGCGCCACGTCTTGCTGCTCGACTCATCTTAATTAAGAAAGCCTAGCTTCGAAAGGGTTTAGTACCATAGGGAGACAAAAGGCATTAAATCGAGTTGCTTTCTGGATTTGCTTGGCTGCCAATTTGCATTTTTTTTACCGCCACCATTCGGAATGTGTGCTGAGCGCTTGCATGCCAGAAGATCGAGAGTGCGAGAGAGATAGCCCTTCCATAGCCCCAAAAATTACGGGGGGTGCTGGTGGCCAGGGGACGGGACCGTCTTCAGCCTTGACGAAGAAGAGAGAGATACCAGAGATCTCGTGCCACGTGTTCGGGGCAGATGATGAATTGATTTGCATCGGTCGGAATACGCACAGTGCTTGCACTGCGTTTCGTAATGTCTTGTTGGTTCATGGGACGCAGAGGAAGAGCTGTTGTGCACCCTATTTTCCGTGGAGTGACCAGTTGGGAAATCGGGTGGGATTTTAGGCCTCTGGCCGAAAGGCTGACCTCACCAAGCCCCAAGCCTGAGAGAGGTCATATTCCTGAAAACGCGCTGTCATGTTGCACGTCATTTGACGTTCGACCGACCCTGAGAGTTTTACACCCATCAGCCGCCGAGAAGACAGAGTGACCTTTCGAGAACTTCACAGACGCTGCAAAATTCCGAAGCGATGGCGTCAGGCTATTACTACCGCCTGGTCGGCCAGCTGGGAAAAGCACCTTCTTGCATTTCGGATGTGCCACCACAGAAGCTAAAGTCGAAGCTGATCGACGGTGCCTGCATCAACGAGCCCTTTCGGAGGACTCTACGAGTTGCAGCTGCGAATAAAGGTTCTGGCGGTTCTGGGGTTTGCAGCAACGGCGGCACCAACCAAGCTTTAGATGAATGAGTTCGTCTAGAGCCGAGGGATGTTCTGAGTCCTAACCAGTAAACGAACCCCGTCAACCCAAGAGTTGCCCTAACCGAAATTTAAAACCCCAACTGTGGACAGGATTACTCGGTCGGCTTCAGCAAAGAGTAGTTTGTCCCAGAATTTGGACTCCCTTTCAGATTTCAATGACTTGTGCGAATGGGAACTTGCTAGACAGGAAGGATCCCGAAAAGGGGCCCAAATTCTGGAACAGCTCTCAGTGAGCGTCGACCTGCAGACTCGGCCGTTTCCGTTTGGGACATTGATGTGGAACCTGTGCAGGATCGGCGATTGCAATGTGGCGACGCGTCTAGAACACCACAAATCAGACGAGGCCTCACCGGAAAAAAGGGTTCTGTAGATGAGGGTTGAGGTTTCAGGGGCTTCGGATTTCTCTTTTCGGTGTTCTAAAGGACTTCAAGATTCCCGCTCTTACTGAGTGGGAGTGGTGAAAAGAATCGTTTATCTTGGCACCGCTGTCCCGTACATTCGCGTCATGAAGTGCTTCTCTCCAGGCAGAGGGGCTTTTCTTCCCCTCGATATTCCATCAGGCTTGGTCCTGGGTTTCAGCCTGACTCTTCCAGCTTCTGGGAGACCATGAACCCCCCAACCCTCTGTGTGCCAGCCGGTTTTCATGATGATGGTGGTGGTGACAGTGATGGCCATGGTGATGGTAATGACCCGCGGGGTTTGGATCCCTTTGGTCTGCCAAACAAGACTCATAAGGACAAACAAAAACGAAAAAAAACACAAATAAGACACTCCACGACAACTAAACATTGCCAAATAGAGAAAAGGATGAATGAGAGAGAGAGAGAGAGGGGGAACGAAAGAGCGAACGAAGCAAATCAAGACATAGCGACAGAAAGAACGAACGCAGAAAAAAAATAACGACACTCGAGGGTTAACAAACGTTTCAGATTTCACGGTTCTTGCATTGAGCAGCGAGCTTTGCCATGCGTCGTGCAGCGCAAGCTCCGTTTTATGAACCGGTTCGCAACACAGCATACAATCACATTCGCGTTCCAAGATCTGCTGCATTTGCAATGCACGGCTGCCACTTCCCTCCTCCAAGGCTTTCGTCCGCTCTGCTCTCCTGAAGCTATTTTTCATGACTCTCCACGGCAAGGCGCAGGTTTCGGCCTGGCAAACGACATTGTCCCATCTTGCCGGCTGCGTCCCGATCATCCTGGAGGAGCCTGAAGAGCGCGCAAAGTAGGGTTGAGGCTTCCAGAAGACAGCAGCCGCGACGCTACGAAGCGGAGGGTCTTACGAAGTAGTTAATTAGTTGTTGTTGTGCATGTTTGGAGAATACGGCTGCGCGTGCCAGGGTTCGCAAGGAGGACGGGTGTTGGGTTTAGATTCAGCGTTTCTACGTGTGCATGGGCTGTTAAGAGGACGAAAGCAGGCTGTTGCAGATCTGCGATCCTCTACAAGTCTGTACGTGTCATCAGAGTACGTGTGCTCGCGTGCGAGGCGATGCTCCAATCTAGCCATAGCTACGGCGGACCCCCGGACAAACTCCTAAATGCAAGCTTGGTTGTAGCACAACCCCAGACCGTAAACTTCGCCCTGAACCGGAGGAGCCGGAGTCCTACAAGGCGGGTGATACCTTCGGCAGAGTTGATCTGTTAGCGTTCAGGAAGGTAATAAAGAGCAGGGTTCCAGGAAATAAAGTTGGGGATGCAGGTGGTAGGATTCCAGGGCCTCCAGGGTACAGGCCGCAGAGTGTAGGATCCTGTAGGGCAGGGATTTTAAGGTGGAGGATTCTACGGGTCATGGTTTCGGGAACCCGTGGTCCAGGGCGTCGGCGGCTGAGGTTCACGCTGGAGGGCTTTGCGGGTATAGGCCGGTATGGGTTGATGAAACGAAATTGAAGCTCGCGCTCAGGTCGCAGGACACTTGTTCCCTCAATTTTCCGATGCTTTCCACCAGATGAGGCAGGTCAAGCTGAACAAGACTCTCGGCCATCTCCCCTCTTGTCCAGCCTTGTTGAGCAAAAGTGAGCCGGATACCAGAGACCCTTGACACCGAGGAACAAAAAGTACGACCATCATTGCAAAATTACACAAGCTCATATTCGGGCCGTGAAGGAGGCAGCGTCACATGAGATCAAGTGCCTCAGCCGCATTCAACTGCAACGCCTGCCTGATGCTTGCATTGTTGTTCCAACTATGAGTGATCCATGCCAGCTGCGAGGATGTACAAGGCAGCAAAGAAGCGAGTGTGGCGATTGAAGGAGGAACTGAAGCTCTAGTGACTCTATAATGACTTTTAATGTTTTGATAGCTGGTGCAGAGGCTGAAGTAGCCCCACCTCGAGCGAGCTTACCACAAAGTGGAGCCGCTCCACGCTTAGATTTAGGTGCCATGCGGCCCACAAATAAGCTGCCTGATCTTATGACGGGGCTGTGGGCCTGCCCCTGCAGGTAGTATCGATGATGACCCTGCGGCCTCACATGCCTTAAATGCCCGAGACCCCATGCTTTAACCAGAGGCATCCACATCGCTAAGCCCCAAACAAGCCACTCTACACCCCAGGCCTTAGAACACCATGAACAACATGAGTCTGAATGTTTCTGCAAGGTTTTTTTTTGTGCTCAGTGTGGTCGCTAGGCACTGGCTATTTGTTCAAGACCTGACCATTGCTGTTGCATATGCTCATCAGTGTCATCATTATTCCTGCTTTTTGCTCGCCATTACCGTTGTTTGCTGTAATTGCTAGTCTCATCGTAGCATCAGCCTTAAGCCGTTGTAGTCTTACGCTGTGCAGGCCTCATTGGCCCTCTGCCTGCCTGGGATCCTCAGCTTGGCTCAAACGAACCGTCCATTTGATCCCCATCGGCCTGAAGGCGCTGGGCTTGTGCGCGGGTTGACGGTATGGAATTTATTATTGTAGGGGTTGGCTTAAGGTGGCGAGGCTAACGATAAATCATCAATTTTACGGCTGTGGTGAAGTCGGGAGACGACGACGATGTTATGCTCTGCAGCTGTGGTTGATGATGTTCCCAGCGATGAGGTGCCGAGGGAAACGACGCTGACTGCAACCGTCACATGATGAATACTATGTTGGTGCTGATGGCAATGCTGCTGCTGCTGATCATGATGATGATGATGATGCCCTCATGGTTACGATGATGACCTTTATGATTTATGATCATGAAGCCGGTGACGGTGATGGTGATATGAGTTTGGTGAAGATGGTGATGATGTTGATGTCGATGGTGTTGATAATGTTGAGGGCAACGATGTTACTGGTGATGATGACCGTGATGGTTATGATGCTGGTGACGATGACGCACGTTCCCAGAGGCCCCTGAGCGGCCGTGGCCTGACGTGAGTGCGCGACCTTCGCTTTGCTGACGATGTCGAATTAATGCTCTTAGAGCCGATCCCACGATTGACAAACGCAACTGAAACTCTAAAGCATCCACCCCGACACACCGTCCTCAGAACCCCGCAGCAGAGAATCCCGGCAGCCACAGTAAGTGGCAGCGTCAGGTCCTTGGGGTCTCATCGGCCCCAGGGGCAGCGGGGCGCTTGGGTAGAGAGGCAGGAGCCGCCATTAGGGGAATCAGGGAGGGTGTAAGTGTTGAACATTGGAGGGGGGGGTCGGCCCTGTTGGTTGGAGTTTGGGAACTTAGGGCTTGTAAGGCCTTGGGGTCAGGGATCTTGGCCTGTCTGCGGGTTTTGGATCAAAAAAGGCTCGTGTCAAACAGGAATCACAAGATGCAACCCGAAGAGGATGGAGAGCTGTTCCGGAATACCAGTGAAGAGCACCTGTCACCTCGTTGCTGAGTCCTGGGAACTCGGCCTTGCATATCCAACTGAAAAGCTCAACGAGTCTGATGGATGTGTGTTTGTGTGTGTGTGCGTGTGTGTGGGTGGAGGGTGTGCTTCCAGCAGCCGATGGTGCTCTTCGCTTTGAAGCATTGTTTTCGGGCTTTCGGCACCCACCAGAGCTCCATCTAGGGCTGTGCGATGCTACACTCCTGAAAAGAGACTCCAGGCTAAGATGATGCAGTGGCTGCTGGTTGCGCTTGTGAGTGTGGGACAGGCCGGGACGGCTTCTTTCGTTCGGGTTGAGTCGTCGCAGGAATATTTGCAGCGCTCTGCAAGCCAAATGCTGTGCTTGGATGTGCTTGGAGAGTGATGTCACATGCTCGAGTCCTGCCACGAACAGTACCCCTGTTTGCTCTGTTTGGTAGGCCGAGCTCCACGCAGATCAGCTGCGGCCGTCCGTGCAGGACGTGCAGAAGAACGTGCACAAGACTTCTCACGAACTCTTAGAGAGGGATGCGGAAGCAGCAGCGCAACATGCGCTGTTCAAGGCATTCGACAAAGCATCTGATCTCGCTTCGGACAAGACCTCGCATGAGTCAAAAGAGGTAGCAGTGGAGGCAGCCACGGATGCCGCAAAGGAAGTGGCCGAGGAGGTGGCAGAGGAAGTGGCTAAGGAAGCCACGAAGGAGATGTCAAAGCAAAGGGCGATGGGCAAAGAGGTGCTGCGCCGAGAGAGGCAAAAGCTCCGCCAGCATCGCCAGCATCAGGAGGTGCTCGAGGAACGAATGGCGATGCGGGCACGAAGGATGGCGGAGAGAGAGCAGAGACGTCAGATCCCAATCAGGCCGAGTGCGATCAGCGAGAACTTGATGCTTAGAATGCAGCTACTGGCAACTACTCGTAGTGGTTTTCCTGTGGCATGTAGTTTTCAGACAGAGCCACAGTTCTCGTAGTACGGCAGTGGCCCAGACACATCCGAGCGGGGCCGAAGTTGAGCCATCAAGTCGCCCAGGAATCCCCGATTGGCGGGCGTCAAGATCAATAAGCTGATCGATGGCTTCCTCTCCTCCAAGCCGGTGAATATCAACTCCAACATCTCCCCCAAGCACCCATTGGTCTTCATGCATCAGGCACAAGCTCCCTCCCTCCCTCCTTCCCTCCCTCCCTCCCTCCCTCCCTCCCTTCCTCCCTCCCTCCCTCCAACCTGGACCCAGGCCAAGTCTGGAGGCACTTCGTTGAGGCAGGAGCTACACGAGGCGGCCCACAATCTTGGCCTCTCGTAGCAGTTTTGGAGCTACACTGAAGCATAGTTCTGCGGGTTCTGTGCATCAAGAGTGAAGAACTTCTCAGCAGCCAAGGTCTGAAGACCTACATCCCGTGCCACGACGTAGACTGCCAGGAGTGGTTTGCGTTCAGGGGCTACAGGCAAGGCTTCGAGCAAGGATTTAGGACTCAGGCTCTGGCACTTTTGGGGGATTCAGGATGTGGAGACGGCCTCCGTGAGAAAAGGTAGCTCCCGGCCTCAATCGATACTGTGGGATTGTTGTGTCTTCCTGAACTCAGCCGGAATCGGAATGGATCCCTGACCACATCCCCCAAAGTTGCTGACAGTGAGGAGTACAACACTGTTGGCCACAACGCCGCTGTCTATGGAGGCCACTTTTGTTGGACCTCATTGGCCAAAGACTTTGCTCGCCGTGGTGTGAACGACTTCTCCTGCGCCACTTCGCTCGAGACAGAAGTTTCGGCCTTTGCCTCATACGAAGGAGTGTAGTTAAGGGTTGCAACAGGAGGACAACAAGAAGATGAGGACAGAAAGTGATGTCAGATGGTGACAATGATGATGGTGTATGTCATCGTGATGACGACAGTGAACCACCTGCTGCGGCTGCTGCTGCTGCTGCTGCTGCTGCTGCTGCTGCTGGTGTCGCTGCTGATAGTGTTGCGCAGTTGATATTGTTTCTGCTGATGATGTTGCTGAGGCAGCCACTGATGCTGCTACCTTCGGTGCTGCTGCCTCCCCCGTGCATCCTGTGAGTGACGAAGTCATGCATGCTCAATCTTATTGTCCAGGATGGTTGGCTATGGCATTAACGATGGCGAGCTGCCGCTGCCGATGATGGCGGTGATGATGATGATGATGATGATGACGATGACGACGGTGGCGGTGATGATGATGATGATGATGACGACGGTGGCGGTGATGATGATGACGACGATGGTGACGACGATGATGACGATGATGATGATGATGACGATGAGCATGACGATGATGATAGCGATGCTGATTGCAATACAGCTAAGAGGGTGATACTGCTGGTATGATGAACGGGTCCTGCTGATGTTTCAAGAAGTCGAATGCGTGCATGCAGTTGCAATGGTTGGAATGCCACGCCTTCGAATGGCGCTGAGTGTTCATTTCGTGTGTACTTGCTTTCGTTCCCAATTTGACTCGTCTGAGCCAGAGTCGAGTCGAATGCTAGCTACACCCACCCACGCTCTCTCTTTGGCGTAATCCAGCATGCTTTGTACGTTTTGTGTGAAGCATTTTGGGGCATAAGCCGAGCTTCAGGTGACTATCTTCCGAGATCCTGTTCCCCGAGTCCTGTCTTGCTACTCGTACCGGCTGGTCGGGAAGCTGAACTCCGCTCCCACCTGTGTGGCCGACGTGCCTCCGGAGCGACAAAGAGCCCTTTCACAATAATATGGTCCTTGAAACAAACCTTGGCCCTCAGGAGAAGCTGAAGAACGAGCTGCTTGGCCACGCTTGTGCCGACGAGCCCTTCCGCAGGCGGGAGATCCAGGGCCCCCTTCGTATGCTAAACTCAAGGAGTGGTTCCATCTTCTGCTGTCAGGATCGGCGACTGCAATGCTGCGGGTGAGATCGAGCACTTTGAGACGAACCAGGCACCTCCAGAAGCCCTTCCTGGGGAGTTCGGGTGTAGGCAACGCGATTCCTTTAAGGTTTCAGGGTTTCGCGTCCTTTTGCTCTGCGGCAGGGCCGTTTGACTGATTGGGTTGAGCCTGATCACTCGATGAGGATTGTCTGGAAGACAGGCATTTGATTTTTGAAGCTGGAAGCGCCTCAAAAACCCGCCAGAGGATTAAGCTCTCATTGAAAACCGGGTGAACAGTAACTTGCATTGCGTCACAGCCCAGCCGTTCATCTATCCACATGCGCGATCTTCGCTCTCTGAGGAACATACAGCAATTCTCGAAAGTTGAAGCCAGACAGCCCGCAATCACAAAGTCTGTTTGAGACTCTAGGGCTTACCCTCTGGCGATCCGGCAATTAAAGACATGTTCCCCAATGAATTGCTTTTGAGTTCAGCACTGCGTATATTTGTGGTGTCAATTTTCTGTCCACTTGTAATGCCACATGCATGTTACTCGTGCAACGTGTCGTTATCATTCCAGGAGCGCGTAAAGGGCTGGAGCCAGACTCTGGCTCACCTGTCCAAGTGCGTTCCCCTGATCATCGAGGAGCCCGAGTCCTACAAGGCCACTGCAAGTGCACAATAATGCCCGGTAACATTTATGTTCTTTGCAGTATTTTGAAACGCTTCCTTCAAGGGCGTTTGGTTGTATACCTCACCCCAAGCTCCATGTATTAGGGCAATGTTTGAAGACTAGTGGAAGACAATGAAACCCAAAGTCTCCAAGGCAGCTTAAAGCAACAGCTGAGACGAGGTAAAAACTGCCTTGAGCTTCGAAGTGCCATGTACAGCTATTCACGTGGCCCACGGAATGATACGTATGACGGCTGTAGATTAAGGTTGACTAAAGCCTCATGACCTGGAGTTCTCGGCCTTGGCTTCTTGCAAACAGCTTCGAGCTCTTGTGAGGTTCACAAGGTCCGCAGCATGGATATACTGGGGTTTGCGGCTCCCCACAGAGATGCAGTATGGCCTGATCAGACCAAAACCTCTGCAAGGGTTGCCTTTTGGGCCTTCTTTTTCGCTAGGGCTGGCTGCAAGGATGCTGGCAAAACACTCACACCCGAAGGTGATGCTGTTCCTCCACGACGGCTAGACTGATGGTGCTAATAATGGCTGCGGTGTTGGTGTGCTGTGGTGCTGGTGCCGTGGTGCTGGTGCTGTGGTGCTGGTGCTGTGGTGCTGGTGCTGTGGTGCTGGTGCTGTGGTGCTGGTGCTGGTGCCGGTGCCGGTGCCGGTGCTGGTGGTGGTGATGGTGGTGGTGGTGGTGACGGCGATGGCGATGGCGTTGGTGATTGTCATGGTGGTGCCGGTGATGTGAAATGTGGGGAAGAAAATGATGATAGCGGTTACCGTGATGCTCCAGGATGCTGACGATGATGGCGATCATAATTGCAAGCGCTTCGCGCCGTCCGCCTTGGCCGGACCGCAGGTGAAGTAGTAGTCTCTATAGCATCGTCACCATCATCATCACCGTCGTTGCCAGCAGCCGTCGACAGAATCGTAGCAGAACTCCACTGCTATGTATGATGTACTGCAGTTGATGATGACCGTGTCGTCAGTTGATAAGTATGCTGCTTTAAAACGTTGCTCTTGATTCTAGCGGTCGTGGTCATAATAGTAAGAGTGCGCAGGTGGCTGCTGCCGCATTTCCACAAATGGCAGATGCCTTCCTGAACCTGGGGAAGGTGAAGCTGAACAAGACTCTTGGGATGCAAGACCCTGCGCCCTGCGCGCTCCTTCCCCCACCGCTAAACGAACTTGCTCAAAAATTGAACTTGTCTGGTGAATGACTCAAGTGTTGTCCATGCTTAATCTCTTTCACTCGAAAGCCTGATCCATGGCATCATCGCTGCAGTCTTCAGGAACAAGGAGTACGACAGCCAGTGCCATCCCACTCCCGCTCATCTGCGTGCCGTTCGAGCAGTGACATCGCAGGAGTCCAGGCAGGATTGCCGCGAATGTTGTGCATGTTGCCGAGGCTAGCAACTACTTGTCAGTCGTCGTCGCAACTCATTGACACTTGACTCTTGCTGCTGTTCTGATTCTCATGTTTGGTCACTCTTTGGTCTGTCGGTGGTAGTGAGTGCCGTTGTTGCTGAAGGCTGGAGGTATGATGACGATGCCGTTGCCAAAACTGAAACATCCTGCCGTTATTCGTCGGATGCGTCCTGTTTCAATCAAGGGGGTGTTTCTGACTTTCTACTGATTGCTCTCGCCTATCAATCGAGGAATGTACATGATTTTGGCAGCATGGTTTCTGAAAGACATCTGAGCGCACCGGAGCCTCACATCTGTTACCTCGATGCAGGATCTACAAGGCTGCTCGCAAGCGAATGTGGCAATTGCATCGACTTCTTGTGAAGTGAGCTCCTGCACCTAGTGAAATTCGCTTGTACGCGACATGTAGGAACCCAACCCCGGAGCCTTCCTTGTTGCTACTGTCACGATTGAGAAGGATGGTTGTCGGCTGGTTTCTGGCTAGTGCTAGTCTACTATCATGATGTCTAATACTGTCATCATAAACCCCGGACAGGTAACAAAATGGCTGGACATGCTTTGGGCCATTTTAACAGAATTTTGAGCGGCCAAACGGCCTTGCCAAAGGCAGAAGTTATTTAAGACATTCCAGCAGGCACAGCTCTGTGAATTGCAAAAGGCGTCTGCACGACAGGTCCGGAACCAGGTTTAGGATTGATCTCTGTCCATACTTTATGCTGCTAGTGCTAATTACTATTACTGATGCCTGCCCCAGCTACTGCTACTACGATACTACGACTACTACTGCAACTGTTGCTATTGCCAGTGCTGCTACTACCTCTCTTGCTCTTACTCTTACGCCTCCTCGTCCTCTTCCTTCCTCGCACTCGTCCTCTTTGTCTTCCTCTGACTCCGGCTCTCATTCTCGCTCTTCCTTTTGCTCTTGCTTACTTCCTGCACTTACTCCCGCTCCTAGTCTTACTCCTTCTCTTATCAAACTCTTACTCTCGGTAGTACGATCATTACTTGTTCATCATTATTGTTTGTGCTACAGCAACAGCAGCAACAGGAAACTAGTACTAGTACTAGTACAGTAGTAAGTAAAAGTAGTAGCAGCAGCAGTACGACTGGGTACTACTGCTACTGCTGCTACTGCTACTGCTACTACTACTACTGCTGCTGCTGCTGCTACTACTACTACTACTACCACCACTACCACTACAACAACAACAACTACTACTACTCCTCCTGCTGCTGCTGCTGCTACTACTACTACTGCTACTGCTACTACTACTACTACTACTACTACTACTACTAGGACGGCGACGGTTACTACCAGCACTGCCACCAGTTCTACTAGTGCTAGTACTAGTACTGGCTAGTAGTAACGCTATGGTACAGTACTAGTTGGTAGTGTTGCCAACACAACAGCTTAAGCTGAGTTGGCTGACGACGCTCACCATCTCCTCCTCCTCCTCCTCCTCCTCCTCCGCTTCCTCTGCTTCCTCTGCTTCCTCCGCCTCCTCCGCTTCCTCCGCCTCCTCCGCCTCCGCCTTGACGACGACGACCGCGACTGCGAACACGACCACATCACATTGTACCAGCGCTGCAGCTACGGTCCTGCGACAGCGGCGAGGGCGAGGTTGCGGCGTTAGTTGCGTTTAAGGTTGAAGTCATGAGGAGTACTTGCGAAATGTTGGTGAGCATAATAGAACTGACATAGACTATGATACTTGGCAACGATCATGCCTAGTGAGTACGAAGATGAAAGCCATCTGAATCTAGTCACTGCGATGACAGTTACGACTACACATGGTGGTGACGTTAATGGTCCTGAGCATGATGGTGACGAGTAGGATTGCAAAGATGACACCACTGACCAATGCTCTGAAGAAGCCGATGATCGATGACGGTAATGACCGTTATGGTCATGCCGTCAATGATGATGGGGACGATGATTACGACGACTACTTCTCCTGCCTGTTGGACTCGCCATTCACGGTGATGCAGCGTGCTCAAGCCGGAGAGTGGCAGGCCTGTCCACATCTAGAGCCTGGCACAATGCCAGAGTACCTGCCTCCGCCGAGAGTCGGCCAACTCAGCAGCGCTCCTTGGACCTCCCTCAGCCCCGAAGTTCTGAGACAACTTGGGTTCTTCCTAAATCTTGCGCTTACGATGGTCTTTAGGACATGTTGAGAGTGTCGGGATCCGGGTTGGCCGAATCCGGCTGAGGGTTCAAAGTCCAAAAACTTGGAGCCCGCCCGCCCCTCCCGCCCACCAGCCCACCCACCCACCCATCCACCCCCCTGAAAACCTCCACTTTGGAATGTAGTCCAGGTGTTTTCTCAGTTTGTTATCGCGAAGCCATACTCAATTTGGATAGGCTGTCAGACGGAGAGAGTGATTGAGCAATCCAGGAAGGGACGACAGGGAGATAGGCATGGACAGATGGAGTAAGGCAGGGGGTTTTGTTCGTGAAAATGGACACGTCACTGCCCTGAGGAAGTTCTCCGTTTCCACCTCAATGGCGAGCTCGTGGAAGTTGTCGGAGCTGATCCACGCCAGATGCTGATCGAATTCCTGCGGGATTCAAAGGGGCTGACTGGCACGAAGAGGAGCCGAAGTTGTATGGGAACCTTATGGCAGAACTTGAACAAGAAATCGTGGAGAAGGGATTGTTGATCGTGGTTGGTGATTGCTAGACTGAATAGAGCCCTTGGAGGATCACCAGTGTCCCAGGCGTTATTGTTTACAAGTACATTGCACGCGCACCGTAGAACTGCTGACGGACTAACCTTTATCGCCTCACTTGCCCCATTTGTGTGCGAGATAGTGACAACGACACCCCCGATAAACGATAAACCTCAGTTGCCCCAGTTGCGCCCCAATTGCCCCCAGCTGTCGGTTCGTGGTTTAAGGCTTGAGGCTTGGGGTTCACTGTTTAGGGTTCAGGTTTTGGGGCTTAGGCTTAGGGTGTGGTAAGTGCTGGCCAAGGGGTACCAGAGTATGGCTTGCAAGAGCTGCAGGTTTATCTATCGGGTTTGCTTCAGGTACAAGGAGATGGCTTGCAGCATCTGTAGGTACGAGGGGTTTTGGATGAGGTGGAGGTCCTGGCAACTCAACAACCACCCTTCTCGCGAGGGCTGTGCTCACCAGCAGCACAACCCCCCGAGCCCTCGCACAGGAGTGCACGTGGGGCAATTGGGGCAGCCCGAACACCAGGCCCGCGTGGGGCAAATGGCACGAAATCGATTTCAATAACTCGGCACACGAAAGTGGGGCAACTGGGGCAAGTGGCAGATATCAGTGGTCATGTGCGCGGTACCAGAACATGGCGCTGCGGAATCCTCGCTATGTTGGTCACTCTGACCTGGGTCCGCAGCCTGTGATGGTCAACGGAAGGCTTCGACGGCCACCTAAAGGCCCACAGCTGAGCCTGCAAAGAAATCCCAGCAGTACAGCAGGTACAGTGCAGGTACTGTATGATGCAGTATAATAGAAAAACAAACTATGTGTACACCGTTGTGATTAAGTATTACCACACTACTGGGCTGCCCGTCGACTGACACACGACACGGACGAGAATCGCAACAGGAGCTGTCTCCAGGGAGGCTGCGGCGCCTGTGTCGTTGCTCTGATCAGCAGTTAAAAATTTCGGATTGTTTCAATTTATCATGGCAAAGACTAAACCTTGAGCTTCTAGAAGCCGAGAGCCTTCGTAGGTTTAAACTTTCGAACCAGAATCCCAAACTTGTATCGAACACTCAAGCCTGGAGGATACCTAGGCCATGTAAGGACGGCTCAGACCTCGAAGTAAAGTTGTTGCTGCAGCCAGGATTCCACACAAATCCAACACGAAGTCAGGGCTGAAGTGACACCTCTTGGGGCTTCAGACAGCTCCGACTCCGACCCTTAACCCTTTCGAGGTTGCTATCCAAGAGTACGACATGGCCACCTCGCAGTGGAGATATCGATCGGTGAACAGCTGTTCTGAGCTCAGCGACCATGCTTGGTTGAAGACTAGGAAAGGGTAGGACCAGTGTCGCAATTTTTGCTCGCGTCATCCGCGGTGGTTGGTATTGGACTACGACATCACGAAAGTATTGTAGTACCGAGTAAAGTGGATGTTCTCTTAAACAGTGTTTAGGAGAGGTGGTTGGGAGAGGGGGCGCGCCTACTATTACTATTATTAGAACAACTGCTGCTGCTGCTGCTGCTGCTCCTACTACTACTACTACTACTACTACTCCTGCTGCTGCTGCTGCTACTACTACTACTACTACTACTAGTACGACTACTGAAATAGCCATCATACTTTCAATCATTTTAATGCTACGACGAAGACGGTGACAACGACGATGGCTGGCAGTGTTATGGGTACTGATGCTGGTACGGCTGATGAACCAAGCCCTGAGCAACCTTATATGCCGAATGGCATTGAAAATTCTACTAAAGTCATCATTCGGGGTAATGCAGGATTTCGTCCATCAGCAGTACTGGCACTGGCACTGTTAGTGCTACACTGCAGTTTCTGAATGTGTTACTGCTGTTTGTCACTGCTGCTGCTACAGCTGCGGCTGCTACTGCTTCTGAAAATGGCACAGCAACAGCCCCAAACCGAAAAAAAGGTCCGAAGTCCGCAGGCCCGTTGCAAACCTGGCTGTACTTGCCAGAGGATGCGCTGCGTTGTGCTATCATACGATGCCTGTTGTTCTGTTTGCACTACATTATCATCTTGTATTGTACCGAAGCATATATGTCGATAGATAACAGTGTTTGTCTCTTGCTTTCTCATGTCCCCAGGTTTGAAGCCCCTGGTCGCCTGTCACGGAGCGTCCATCACCACTGTTGAGGGTGTTGGGACGGAGAGGAAGTGCCTGCACCAAGTGCAGCAGCGAATTGTGCCTGGGCACCAGTGGCTAATATGTGCTTCTCCGTGCTTCGAGCATCAGTGTAACTAGCCAGTTCCCCAGCTGGAAACGGAACCTTCCCCCTGCTGAGTCAGAGTTGCGCTGGTGCCTCGGGCTTGATTGTCCTTCCACGAGTACAGTGTTTGACCAAGGCCGAGAATCACGGCATGCAGTGCGGCTTTTGCACACCAGGCATGGTTCGGTGCTGAGTTGGAGCCGAGGACGCTGTTTGTGCAGTGGTTCGGGGATGCTCGGGGTTTCGGATCCTGGATCCGCGACTCGCGTTAGGCTCTCTTTCGACATGATGTTTGAACGCGAGGATTGGAGACATTAAGTATGCTTTTGGGTTTTTCTGACGTCACGCAGCCGAGATTTGAGCCGAGATGTGGTGGTACAACACTCCGCGGAATTTAGACCTCGGTAATGGGTTTGGAGTGTAAATTTAAGGATTCATGGCGAAGGGCCTATTCCACTGCCCCATTCATCTTAGTAGTTATTCCTTGGAGTGTAAATATCGTATAGCTTTATTTTTCCGTGTTAACATCGGGGATTGTGCGACACTACTGCAGTCCATTCTACCATGCAACATCAGATAATGTCGCATATCGAGGTGTATTGCACCATGTTGTCTTACTATGTGTTACTTCATGTTTTGCTTCAACATCACATCATTACTAATTACGTTGCCTGCGCTAAGGCCCACTGCATAACATGAAATCCCTGAACGGTTCACACGTTTTCAAAGTGGCCAAGGTGCTGCGAGATTTTGTTGAAGAATTGTCTTCAGAATTCGGGCCCACATGTCTTGGCCGTATTCTACGCGATTCCACAATCACATGTTTTTGTTTGTATTATGCGTGAGCAGTGCCCTTAGCTGGCAGGAACACACTTAACATGAGTTTGCGCAGGCGGTATCCGTTTCAGCTAGCTTGCAAATGAGATGTGTGGAAGGTATGTGACGCAGCAGTATTAGTTGTGGTTCTCCTAGTACCAGCAGTACCACGCCAGGCGGGGGAGTAGTAGTAGTAGTAGTAGTAGTAGTAGCAGCAGTAGCAGGAGCAGCAGCAGCAGCAGCAGCAGCAGCAGCAGCAGTAGTTGTAGCTGTACTTGTAGTTGTAGATGTTGCTGCTGCTGCTGCTGTTGCTGCTGCTGCTGCTGCTGCTGCTGCTGCTGCTGCTGC